ATTTCATATTGCCAGTTTATAGCATGCAAATAACCACAAAGACATGCGCAACATTTGCTAATTTCATTTAACTATCATCCAAAATCACACATGTAACATTGTGGACAGGATGTAACAGTGTGGACTTTACACCAGTGAGCAACACATTTCATTAAAGTAAAGACATTTACATTTACATTCATTTGAAATTTGAAAATAAACATGAACAATTCTAAACATTACTGAACAATGTTAATATCAACAATTAATCATTAACATTACCATTTAAAAATAAAAATATGTAAAAATATTTTCATGCTAGTAATGACCCAAAGTGTCAGTAAAAAAGGAGAAGAGAGAAAAAGAGGAGGAAAAAGTAGCAAAGCTCCCTGGATCAGATTCCTTTGGCTTTTTATAATCAGTTGCCAGTGGTGTGTGTGTGCTTTCTTACTAGTAACCAGCATGCACGAGGGCCCATCACAATAGCCTCCACTGGGGCCCTTGGTAACTCCTGTACACCACTGAAGCCAGGTGTTATAGCTGAGTTAGTTTGAGCCTCTACAGTCTGACAGGCCAAATTAACAAAACGTTTGTTGCACAGTTTTCCTGCATCATCCTACTGATACCTCCTGCCGTGTTGCTTCAGTGTGCTCTGTCTCCCATCCCCATACATATTTACAACATGTGCATTTAACATTTACACTGTGAATTGATGCAGAAAAGGCCTAAATTGGTGCAGAAAAATTCACCAGAGGACAGGAAATCGAATTTTCCCCAACCCCCCTGTTTGATGTGTGTCCCCTCTAAATGTTCAAAATGAAACCTACGCCCTTGGACTGCAGGTCTATGACTCAGTACACACCCACCCACCACCTCGACCTCCACACTCTCACATTTCCTCCTCACTGTGTATCAGGCACACTGTTTCCTGTGTTGGCAATGAACATGAATTATTAGGTGGAAAATGTCCAGTTATTACTGTATTCTGGGATACTGGGCTGCACCACCCCTCAAGTGGAAAACCACTTGGTTGAATTTGGAGCAAAGGCCTCAATATACTGCTGTGATATACGTGACTTCATAGCGATTATTCGTCAACAACAAAGTTTATTGAGAAGACTGTCAGCACAAGATTTTGATCGGTTTAAGAATACATGCATCAGAAGCTGATCTGAGTAATGAAGATAAATTGTGTCAGGATTTTCTGTGCTGTGATTTTGTCTGTCACCACTAGATGTCAGAATGTTAACATCTTCTATCTGCCTCATCATCTATTCACTTGTTTCATCTTCTTTTCCACGTTTTCTAGTCTCTGTTTTTATGTGATTCTCTTCTCTTAATAATACTGATGAATAATAAAAATAAACAGGAAACTTGTGTAATCTTTTTTCTTTTCTTTTCTGTATTTAAAAAAACAGTGAAGGGAACACGGTACAGAAGAGTTGGAGAAGGAAAAATGATGCAACTGCCACATTTTTGGCTGCAAAAGCCATTTTAGATGAATGGACTTGAGAAAGGAGTGGTTTATTAATTCAAACAGTTAATACCTTGTTTTAAACGGGCTGATTTCAATCAAAGCCAATGCAACACACGTTTCTATAAATCAAAGATGGTGCAGAACCATTTCCTCAGTGACGGGTCGTGCTCATCAGAGTCAGGGAAACTACTTTAAAACAAAGTTTTGCAAGCTTTTCACACAGGAAGAAGTTAAATGGAGGGAGAAATCTAGTTTGGTTAACTAAAGCTACTTAGAAAAAAGAGTTCAAACTACTTTGTAAAAAATGATTATTGAATTGAATTGTTGCAAAAAGTTCCTGTTGTTCACGGTTCATAAACCAAAAATAAAAGATGCCCCACAGTTCATGGGAAAGTGCAGAAATATCAGCTTTGGCCTGCACGTGAAAAGTGCCGTCTCAAACTGAACTTTCACTGGAGCTTCATTTGTTACTAAAAACCAATAATCAATATGTCAGAGGTCAGAGGGTTCAATTACAGCAGAGAAGCTTTGGTAAAATAAAAATCAAACATAATTTCTTTTCTTTTACAGCCTAAAATTGCTTGTAGTTTCAGTAGTTAACTTGAAAAAAAAGAAATAATAATTTAACTGCTTGAATCACTGTGAATGATGAGGTTATGAATGTTGTTGAACAGCTGCTGCACAATGTAGGTAAACTACTGTCTGTCTGTCTGTCTGTTCACCTGTCTGTTCTGCACTGCCTCCTTCACAAAGAGCCGCTGTCCACACATAGAAATACCTTTCCATTGAAATGAACAGCACAGTCAGAACAACACACAAACACACACACGGCGAGTTACAGCCCATGGGAAGTCCCCTACTTTCGTATGAAATGCTATACCAGATGCTGTTTCCTTCTCTGCAGGGTGTTTCAGTTGAAATCAATAAGTGTGTGTGTGTGTGTGTGTGTGTGTGTGTGTCTTACCAGAGTGCCCATAAGCCAGGCACAGAGTCCCCACTCTCTTGTTGACTGCAGGAGGCCGCACTGTTCAACCCCTCTGTTATTTTATCATTGTTGTTGTGAGACTTCAATAACCATCATCCTTTGCAAAGAGACCTGAGGGGGCTGATTGGTTGGAAATCTGCATCAAGGTTTCAGTGGTAAGACTGTGAGGACACAAACTCTGCCTTCAAAATAAAAGCATAGATGTGTCACTGAAATCGGATAAAAAAACCCATACTTACAGTCTGATACATGTTGGTCAGAGGTGTTTGTAGATGGGAAACACTGACTGGCAGATTTTTACTTCAGAATTAAAACTTTCTGCTCTACATTTTGGGAAATACACTCGTGTGCTTTCTGGTAAATGAGAATGCTGATACCACTCTCATATTTTCCCATCAAATCTGAAGCAACAGCCAGCAGCTGGTTAGCTTAGCTTAGCACAAAGACTGGAAGCAGGTGTAAACAGCTGCCTGGCTCTGTGAGACAGTGGGGCACAAAGGCTCCGGAGAAGAAGCCAAGATGGTGTCACGAAGACCAATTTTTCTGCATCTTTTTGAGACAGGAAATTCCTATTTTTGCAATATAACGCAGATGGAAGAATGCAGTAACTAGTAATATGTAATAAATTACATTTTGAGAGTAATGCCTGGTTCATGCTACACGATATCAGCCTGATTACAGCCCAACACAGCGTCGTACGGTGTCAGCGTGGATCGTGAACGACAATGAGTGTTGTATGCGATAATCCATCGTAACATCTCGTGTAGTGTGTCATAGTAGATGACAACCGACACCACATCTGGGACACCTTGCAACATCCCAACATGAAGTCTAGAATGTTTGATTTTTTATTGTCTACGACTTCTCTCGTCACAGCCGTCACTTTGACCAATAGGAACACAGAGCAATCTGCTGCCATGGAAACTGTACGACAACAACAGTGCAGCCTTTTAGATATTTCCTGTAGGGATGTTAGCACACAGAGTAAAAAGGAAACAGCAGAGGCACTTTATTAACCCGCTGAGTACTGCCATTAGCATCAAGCTAGCAAACAGTGTTCTTTCTTCATAATGGAGGATATAAAGGAGTAAAATTCAAAAATAGTGGCTTTTACTCAGCACAGCTGCAGAGGATCAGCTTCATTTAAAACAGACTACATTATAAAAGGGTCATTATTTATTATTCCCTCTGTACTCAACACTTCCTGTATCTGTTTCAAATTAAAAGCCCATTATATCTTTGGTTGAGAGAATCCCTTCATTTTCTAAACAGGCTTTTATTGTGAAACATTTACAGGAACTTGTTGTGGAGGATTCAGTGACTTGTAGTTTGCGTACGGTACTTCAAATGTAGCTCCGCCCATGTGGTGACACTTTTCAAGTTACTACAACAACATTTTGGCTGGCACATGAACAGACACAGTGACTGAAATAATAATAATAAAAGTAATAGTGAAAATAGGACAAGAATAACCTGATGACATCACACATGCCATGAAAGATGACTTGGGATAACTGGTGTGGACCATCATGTAGTCCGTCGTGTGTATCGGCCAAGTCACAGCAAGACTCCACAATTGCGTAAGGTGACATAGTAGCCCCTTTTACACTGCCAGATTTCTGGCGAATGTTGGGCCGTTTTGCCGGCAAGCTGCGAGCGTTTAGACACACAGAGCCGGATTGGCGAGTTGATCCAAGGTGCCCAATTTTCCACCGCGTAGGGTAGACATATTGGCAGAAACTTTTTGGTTGAAAAAGACCGAGGCGGCCTTCCTCCACAGGAGGGGCTGTTGATGACTTGTGGGAGGAGCTGTTGATGACGCCGCAAGTGCGAACCACTGGCGGTGGAAAAACAGGAAACAGCTGATAGCAGGAATTAGCGAGCAGCTAGTAGCAAGAGGGAAACACAAACCTGACAGACACTGTAAAGATGAGCAACTGGGGAGACAAGGAATTGCGCGCCAACCGTCAGATGATGGGGACGGTGAAGAATGGGCCAACTTATAAGAGAATTGTAGGACTGACCAGCCACGGCTTCCCTCCCACGTCACTGTTTACGTCACACGCTGAGCTACACGTTTTGTTACTTGCTCACGCCCCCCATTGCCCCGAAAAAGGCGCATTCTGTATAAACAAAAGTAGGTAGGCGGCATTATGCTGCACTCCCCGATTTTGTTTTTATACTGCCAATGCTGAAAAAAGAGTGATTGGGCTTTCCTGTAAATTTGCACAATTCCTGTTTAAAAAGGGCTTGTGACTATCAGAACGGACAGAAATGTCGTGTAGTGTGAACCAGACATAAGTTGCCCAACACTGGTTGAAGCCGTCCCCGGTCTCCCCTACTCCAGTACTTTAACTCCAGTAATAATTTGACTCAGAGATGTTCACTTGTGTTGGAGTAATATTGTTGTGCACTTTCTCCACCACCACTGACACACATTCACAGCCCTGAGGCCAATAAGCTATTTTACTTTGAAGTCCTCGCGGAAGTAGCGTCATCGCTTGGAAACGCTTTTATTTTTCCGAGCTGAAACCGGAAGCAGTTTGTTTTGCGGGTAACTTGTCGCTCGTACCGGACAGCTGCCACACCGAACTCGGACTGAGCCGAACTGTGTAAGTAAACCCACAATCCTTCGCCTTTAGAGCCGGTGATCGTCCTCACGGTGACACCGGGCCGACACACACCGACACCCCGCACACACACACACACACACACACACACACACACACACACACAGGGCCGATCGGAGGGTTTAGAGAGGCGGACACAGCGATCATGGAGGCGGCGGAGGAAATCAGTCGATGTTTTCAGGCCTGTGACAACAGTTTGATCTCCACAGGGAAGAACTGAGCTCTGATGGCTGCTTCATTTTGCCAGTCAGTTTTATACCTGTGTGTGTGTGTGTGTGTGAGTGTGTGTGTGTGTGTGTGTGTGTGTGTGTGTGTGTATCACAGTTACAGCTGGTTCATTACATCCAACAATCACTGTAATTACATGCGTTATAGGTTTTCTCTGGTCTGTCTCCTGCAGAGAAACATCATGATATGTAATATTAATATCTCTCAGCAGTGATTTTAAATCTCCAGATGTTCCCACAGACATCTGTGTGTGTGTGTGTGTGTGTGTGTGTGTGTGTGTGTGATTTACACTACATGTAGTTTTTCCATCTTATTACAGAATGTAAAGGTGCCTCTCTGTGATGAAGGTGAGATGATTAATCGATTAGTCGACTGGAGGAAAATTAATCAGCAGTTATTTTAGTAATCGATGAATAAAATGAGTGAAAATTATAGTTAGTTGCAGCCTGCTGTTGTACAGATATTCACTTCATCTGTGTGTTTTCCGCTGTCATCATGTTTGTTTTTTTATGTCAGTAGCTGCATAACATTTTAAGTTTTCAATTCAGTTTCATCTATAAAGCCCAATATCACAAATCACAATTATCCTCAGAGGGCTTTTCAGCGTGCAACATCCCTCTGTCGTTGGACACTCACAGTGGAGATGGAAAAACTGCCCGAAACCCTTTAATGGGGAAAAAATAATCCTTATTATACAACAGTTAGTTCCAGCCCTGCAATCTGATTGGTCGAGAGACAGTAAAACCGTGATGATATTGGAGTACAACATCACGGTTATTTCACTGTGTATGTATCACTCCGCCTCACAGCTGATTGCAATCAACAATCAAATCAAAACTGTCGGTTAGTGTCAGTTAGGTCAGCAGTTGCGTTGTAGGCTAATTAATTCATCCACTGTCAAACAGCCAAAAATATGGATTTATTTCCTAAAATAAGATTTGAATTGAACTATGAATGGTCATCAGAGGAAGATGAGGGAGAGGAGAAGCTGAATCCATCTGAGCACACATCCAGGTTTGTCAGTGTTTCATCAGTGGAGCTCAATGACTTGGAGAAAAGCAACATACTGTCAGATCAGAAGGCAGAGTCGGCTGTGCCTGTGAAGCCACAGTCCACCATGCAGTCACCAGAGACTTATTTCACCAGCTGCACAATTAATGGAAACGTGTAGATAAATGTGTGTAAAGAGTAAGTGCCTGGCGCACCATGTCTGCGTTACATGGCAACGGTGACAGCGGAGTCCTGAGGGAACTATTTTTGTTGGCAGAAGACAAATGAAATGCTTAAATTATCTATTTTGTCCTCATTTTTCAACATTTCTTAATCAGCCTTGCTTATTTAACTGTTAAACTGTTGTATAAAATAAAAATTGTCTTCGGCACGAGAACGCAGGCCGAGTGCCTACGACCAAATCACAGCCGTGACGATATCACAGTACAACATCACGAGCTCGAGTGTGATATTGCTTAAATAATAATAAACCCGTGGTACCTTTAAAATCATGCAGAGGATCAGTGTAGGTTTGCAGTGTAAAGAGAAAGCAGGCCAGTGTTGTCTTCTTGTTTGACTTGTATATTGTAAAAGTTTACCCTCTACATTTACACATATGTCTCACATACTGGATTTTATGGCAGATTCAGACCAGAGAGGATAGAATTACAGTAATCAAGACGGGATGTGACCAGAGCGTGGATGAGAACAGCAGTGCTGTGAGGTGAGAGAGACGGCCGAAGACGGTTGATATTGCGCAGATGACAGTAAGCAGTCCTGGTGACATGGTTAATGTGCGCTTCAGGGGGAGTGTGCTGTCGAGGATGACACCCAAACTCTTAACCTGAGGGGAGGGAAGGACTGTGGAGTTGTCATTAGTGAGAGGAAAACTGTTCGGTTTGGCCAGAATGGATTTAGTGCCTACAAGGAGTACCTCAGTTTCATCACTGTTGAGTTTGAGGAGGTTGTGTGAAAACCAAGATTTAATTTCCAGTAAGCAGTGGGACAGGGAGGTGGGCGGCAGAGTGGAAGTTGGCTTGGTGGAAAGATAGAGCTGGGTGTCATCCGCGTAGTAATGGAACTGAATGCCAAATTTCCTGAAAATCAGACCGAGAGGTAACAGATAGATAATGAATAGTAGAGGGCCCAGGACAGAGCCCTGGGGAACACCGCGTGTGACAGGAGAAGTTTGGGAACTGAAATTTTTGAGGTGTACATACTGAGTGCGGCCAGAGAGATGAGAGTGAAACCAGGTGAGGGAAGTGCCAGTGGTGCCGATGGAAGCTAGCCTATCTAACAAGATGCGATGTGAGATGGTATCAAATATGATACAATATTATATATTATTTTCCCTCCACTCGCTCTCGGCTTGCACAGACCAGCTCCCGTAGCAGCTCGACTCCTCTCCTCACCATGGACGTATAAAGAGAACTCTGTAGCTGTTGCTGTGTCTCGAGTGTGACGGAGAATGAATGAAGAGAGACTCATTGTTGAGGTCGAATATCAAAATATATAATGACCCACAATCCTGTCATTATAACGATACTTCCTGACAAGTCATAGCTCTTCAGGTGAGAAATAAAGTTTAATGAGGAGCTGTCCACACAGGATGTTAAGTCGTAATAACTTTGTGTGGTTGTTTGTTAGTTCATGGGCCACACACAGCCCAGTTTAATTTCAGGTGGGCTGGACCAGTAAAACCACAGCTTAATAACAGAACACCTCCAATGTTTTTACCTTTCTTTCAGCGTAAAGATGTGATTCTGATTATAACTGCAGTTTCAACAATATGTCTCAGTGTTTCCACACTCACTCAATCTGCAATTCACTGTCATTACATGTGCATTTTTCTGATACATTTCCACTCCTGTGCAGTAACGCTGCCATCACCACGCCACGCCAAAGAGGATGGTATTGAGGAAGCAGGTTATCGCTTGTCTCACAGATCATTGATAGGTCTAAAGTTTTGGCAGTGCCTCAGCGAAAGAGTTTCACCAACACAGATTTGAGATAGAGGTCTGATACAGATCGTTTTGTGCTGGAGCAGCTGATTGACAATAGTTTGCACAATGTTCAGTGACTTTAAATATGAATAAGTATCTTTGCTTTTTTGAGGAAAAGGGTGTGAAAAGCCCCTGAAGCTGCATTTTATATATATATTTTGAGATGTAGTAGCGTTGGCGCTCGGCTGATCAGAATCAGGAGCCTCCATGTTTGATAAAATCACCATGTGTCCTGTAGTGTGTGTGAGAGTAAACAGCCAACGAGGGAAACAGATGCAGGAGTCGCAACAATGGCGTTTTAAAACTGATCTCCCTTTTCTCCATTGTTATTTTTACATGTGTAACGACTGTCCCTGAATCCACCCGCTCTGACCGCTGCACTTACACTCACTGTGTGACATGCTCGGTGCCACATGCAGGGTTCCCACACTTTCATATAAACAATTCAAAACTTTTCCAGGACTTTTCAAGGACCCATAAGAACATGGTCAGAGCTGTACAATGCACTGTACTCCAAATGTTAATTATTGTATATGGTAAACAAAACATCATGTGTGGATGCACATTGGAACCACGTTACATCAGCAGCGACAGAAATCATTCGCTGTTATGTTGCATCACGTGGAAGTCAATCGGGAAAATAAAAATAATCAAGTATTTTGAGAATCGATTTATCATTTCAGTCCTTTTTCAAGCAAAAACATCAAACATTTGCTCCTTTTCTTCATCATTAAAGACAGTAAATGAAGAGTCTTTGGGTTCTTTGGTCAAAATAAGCAAATTGAAGACGTCACTTTCCATTTATTGAGCCAAGTATGTGCGACTCCTCTACGATAGGTGGAGATATGCCCCCTTTCAGCTTGTTAGTATTGGACCTTTTTCCTGTTGACCTATTACGTCACAGACCAAACAATGGACAAACAAGTTAGCTACAGTTAGCTAGCAGCTAACTGGTACCATGGTGGACAACTTTACAGCTCTGTACATTTGGTCCGTCCAAAAAGTCACAGCTCTGGACGTAGATTTCTCCATGTTGTTACCGGCTTCTTCTTCTCTTACACATTTAATGCTATTGGACTTCTGGGTCAAAGCCCGGGGCGGAAACTGTGGAGCATGCTCAGAGCGCCTCGGCCAGTTTGGGTCTGATTGACTGTATACATGCAGGAGTCACATGATCTGGGTGTGTTAGTCCCACTGTGACACATTCACTTTAGGACCATTTCAGTCACACTAACATGTTTACATGGATTCAGACTCAGCCTCATGAAATCAATACGCTGCAAGCAGCTCTACAATAAAATTAGTATTTACACATTTATAGTTAAATTCTCAAATGTTCTGCAGAGTTGCAGTGTTTGGACAAAATTGCAAGGTTGTGTAGAATTTGCAGCGCTTATTGTTGCAATCGCACCATCGTAACACCCTGGAGCTACTGAGTTATAGTGCAAAACTTATATACTGGTTTGAAACCAGTCAGTAGATACAAAGAACTTCACACAAAAACCTAGTGATTGATTTATGAACAGCAGGTTCAGCCCAGATCAATTCATTAAAATCTGATTAATAAGTTAGCAGTATTACACATTGGAGCAAACGTTCAGATCCAGCTGTCAGGACTGTAAAGTTTTCAGGACTCTGTGCTACAGACACATTTCGGTTGGTACCAAAAAAAGAACTGTTGTTTGTGTGTGAAGACGCTGAACGTCTGGACACAACCAGTGATTTCAGGAGACATGCTCATTCTGTCAGAGTGAGGTGAGTGTGTAAACCACAGAAACAATAGAGTGTGTGTGTGTGTGTGTGTGTGTGTGTGTGTGTGTGTGTGTAACCACAGGTATTTAGTGTTGATGTGATGTTGAACTTTACGTCACTGCAGCCTGGAAAGACAGAAGCACACACACACAGATAAGGCCATAACACTTCCTGCAGGCTGCTGCACACTGTAAACCTTTTTTTCAGGTGTTTTGAAATTCGTCATCTGCAGCAAAGTACAATAAAATAAAAACCTGAAACTGAAAATTTGAGCTGCATGAACTGACATTAAAAGATTAGGACCCACTGAGGAGCCACAGATGCACGATTGTTTGTGGTTCCTTTATCGTCTGTATCAGAGCGTATCTTCACACTTTATACCACCGCTGATTAGCACAGAAAAAAACATGACTGTGTCCTCTTTAGCGTGTTGGAGAGTCAGAAGTTTCACCTGCTTCAAACAGTTTGTGACAAACATGCAGCTTTTACTTGAGATGACAGCAGCTGTAAGTTATTCTGAATGAGTGTGTCAGCTAAATGTCGTCCTGTCCCGCCTCCTGGCAGCATTCCTGTGATGCCCCAAGGCGGGCTGAGCTGGTCGGCGTTGCGATGCCTTATGTGGACCGACAGAATCGCATCTGCGGCTTCCTGGACATCGAGGAGAATGAGAGCAGCGGCAGGTTCCTGCGGCGGTACTTCATCCTGGACACTCAGCAGGGCGACCTGCTGTGGTACATGGACAACCCACAGGTGAGCTCATCAGTGGGCGTGTGCGCAGATAAATATGTACACATGATGCAGAACTGCTCCCATGTCTCTGACATCAGGAGAGATTCTTCTCTGGTTAGTCAGCACTGAAAACATCTGAGTGTCTGTGCGTGATCACGGTGTTTACCTTTGGTATTTTGAATAAGGAAATGAACTTGGTATTTACTGCATCCCATCAGTTACACAAATGGACCAGGGCGTCAGTGGCTTAGTGGTAGAGCAGGCGCCCCATGTACAAGGCTGTTGTCGCAGCAGCCCGGATTCAACTCCAGCCTGTGGCCCTTTGCTGCATGTCACTCCCTCTCTGTCTCCCCCCTTCACACTTGTCTGTCCTATCAATTAAAGGCTGAAAATGCCCCCCAAAAATATCTTAAAAAAAAAAAAAAGTAACACAAATGGACTGATTTCCTTCTTTTCAGTCAGCTGTTACGAACATCAGCTCACAATGAATATCTACCTGCAAGGACGTGAAATGTGCTTCATTTTCCCGGTAAAATCAAGTAGCTGGTATTTATATTGCAGCTCAAAGCAGGGACAGCTTTCAAAAGTCTCCTTGATGGTGCGTTCAGTGACACACCTCCAACATCTGATAGTTGACCTCTAAAAAACAGGCTGTTCTCACACATTTTTTCATCTTTTCCTTCGAAAAGCAATATGCCCAAATTCGTACTAAATCCTACACACTGCTCCTTTAAAGTGCACCGTCTCAATCCACTGTACAGTACACAGAATAATAGGGTACAGCAGGAGGTTCGTCACCAGAGGAAGGTGGAGTGTTAACAATATGAGGCATAAACAAAGGTAGGAAAGCCTTTAACAGGTTGGATGCAGAAGAAGAGGAAGTGGTGGGTTTGTAGGAGAGAACTGCGCTGAGCACAGATTTCCGTGCGGGCGGTTGAAACGCTCTTCGCTCGTGAGTGACAAGTTGGATAAGGACTTATCAAACCCATCTGAGAGGTTTACACATCGAAAGCAGACAAACAGGAACAAGAACAGAAACTGAAAAGGTTAATAGTAGTAGTATTTAAATATTTCCCTCAGCGGGGGAATTCCTCAAACACCTCAGGTGCAGGTTTTTGGCAGCAGCTTTGATGGAGGCTGCTGATAACTGATATTCCCTGCTGAGTTTACACTGTTGACCAAAACTATGATGCTGCATTCAGCTTTTAGCTCCCCTCCAGCGATGATGATGTTACTTGTACTTATATATACATTTCTGTGTCTTTGTTCAGAATCTGCCTAAAGGTGCAGAGAAGGTGGGCTCTCTCAAACTCACCTACATCTCCAAGGTCAGTCCCTTCTCTCTCTGTCTTAAGTGCTGATTAGCCGTTGATAGCACACTAAGATGCTAAGCTAAGGTGGTGATCACTGTGAAGATAAGCATCAGCATGCTAACAGTGCCAGTGTGAGAACTGTGGATGAATGTGTCCCTCTTTACTTCCTCTCGTTCAGGTCAGTGATGCCACTAAACTCAGACCGAAGGCAGAGTTCTGCTTTGGTAAGTTCACCTTGATTTTATTCTCCTTCCTCCTTTTTCTCTCCCTCCTCACCTCCACCCTCTGCTCCCTCCAAACACTGTATAAAATAATGAACGTAGCCTCTGTGACATCACCTGTTGCCTTGTGGATTTCTGTTTTGAACCCTTGGAGTAACAAAAGTATATTTTTTAAGGAACAAGTACTTTTCATGTTCCTTTTTTAAACTGTACTTCTGCTCTTTACTCGAGAATATTTTTACTTTACTACGTTTGCCATTTATACCTTTGTTACAACGCGTCTGCTCTAAACACGATCGAGTGTTGGGGGAGAGCGTGTGAGGAGCACCTCTACTGCAGCCAGCCTCAAGCATCATATGTGTTTTTAGGATGTTTTTAAAACTACAGTAGCCTGGTGGGTCAAAAAAAAACCCACCCTGCTAACGCTACAATGAACAGAAATTTAAAATGAAAATCAAACTGGCTGCACACATGCATACAGCCGTCAGCTTCTGACCTCATGACACCTAAGGCTAACAGAATTCAACCCAAGTCAGTGAGGTCACCTTTCAGTGGTAACGTTCCCAGTTAGTCAGCAGATGACGACTCAAAACTCCACAACAATTTATAAGACTAACATCAACCACTGACTACCTTACGGACCCTTCCTCATCGTCTGTAGGACTGAAGGCTGCAGTGAAATCTCTCCATCACAGCTGCATCTGGTCCAGCAGACAAACCAGCTCACAGGGTCCATTTTAACTTTTTGAGGGGCCTTATGTGCAAAATCTTGTTTTGTCATCGTATTTCAATCACTCACGAATAAACTCCAAATCTGCATCATATTCCATATGCATATGAGACCAAATGCTAACTTCCTTAGCTGCATTGTTAACATTATGACAATTATTGTCCGCCTGTCTGTCCTGGAAGAGGGATCCCTCCTCAGTTGCTCTTCCTGAGGTTTCTAACATTTTTTCCCAGTTAAAGGTTGTTTTGGGGGGAGTTTTTCCTGATCAGCTGTGAGGGTCCTAAGGACAGAGGGATGTTGTTTGCTGTAAAGCCTCTGAGGCAAATTATGATATGTGATATTTGACTTTATAAATAAGATTTAATTGAATTGAGGAAGGAGGAGGAGGAAGGAGGAGGAAGGAGGAGGAAGGGGTCCGGTTTGGGGACCTCAGAATTGCATCTCTGCTTTTCGAAGATGATGCAGTTCTGTTGGCTCCATCACACTGTGACCTCCAGCATGCACTGGGGCGTTTTGCAGCTGAGTGTGAAGCAGTTGGGATGAGAGTCAGCACCTCCAAGTCTGAGGCCATGGCTCTCTGCCGGAAACTGGTGGATTGCACTCTCCGGGTTACTGCCTCAAGCGAGGGAATTCAAGTATCTCTGGGTCTTGTTCACGAGTGAGGGTAGAATGGAGCATGAGATGGATCGGCGGGTCGGTGCGGCTTCTGCAGTGATGTGGGCGCTGTGCTGGTCCGTTGTGGTGAAGAGGGAGCTGAGCTGGAAGGCCAAGCTTTCGATTTACTGGTCCATCTCTGTCCCAACCCTCACCTATGCTCATGAGCTGTGGGCAGTGACCGAAAGAATGAGATCATGGATACAAATGTCTGAAATGAGTTTCCTCCGTGGGGTGTCTGGGCTCAGCCTTAGAGATAGGGGGAGGAGCTCAAACATCCGGAGGGAGCTCGGAGTAGAGCCGCTGCTCCTTCGCATCGAAAGAGGTCAATTGAGGTGGTTCAGTCATCTGATCAGGATCCTCCTGGGCGCCTCCCGCTGGAGGTGTCCCAGGCACGTCCCATTGGTAGGAGGCCCCGGGGCAGACCCAGAACACACTGGAGGGATTATATGTCTCATCTGGCCTGGGAACGCCTTGGGATCCCCCAGGAGGAGCTGGAAAGCATTGCTGGGGAGAGGGATGTCTGGGGTGCCTTGCTCAGCCTGCTGCCCCCGCGACCCGGCCCTGGATAAGCAGATGAAAATGGATGGATGGATTGAATTAAAATCAAAACTAAGCTTCACTGGTCACCATAAAAAGACATTTGTCCACCAGCCTGTGCCAGGCCCGGTCCAAAGATACCGGCAACCTGATAAATGGACTGCACTTGTGTAGTGCTTTTCTTGTCTGCTGACCACTCAAAGCACATAGCCTAACAACTCTTCTGCACTGAAGTAAGCTGCACATACAGTAGGTGAAAGTGAGTGTGCTCATTAGCGTTAGCTATGTTAATTTTTCATGTGCAGTGTTAATCTTTGATGTTATGATAATGAAGAGAGGGATGAGAGGAAGAGATGGAGACAGAGTGAGAGATCTCGTGGGCACAGTTGTGATTGTTGAAATTAGCTACAGAGACCAGGCTGTAAACATGTTCCTACATTTTCACATGCCAGCCCCAAGTGGACATTAGAGAAACTGCAGGTTTGGGTTGCCGCATGGCTTCAGGAGTCCACGTACTTCTGGCTCTGCAACGAACTACTATTCTTTCCAACCTCCGTTCACTCCCTTCGTCCTGCCCCTCCTCTCCTCCACCCTCTCTTCCTCTCCAATCTGCTTCATTCCCACTCCTTCCTTATTTCCTTCCTTCCTTGTTTCCCCCTTCTGGCCTTCCTTGTCCTTTTTTTCCCTCCCTCTCCCTCCTTCCTTTCCTCTTCCGTTAGATTTATTTCCTCTCTTTTGTCCTTCACTGCTTGTTGTTGTTCCTCTGGTGGCCAACGGTAGCTTTTGTCACTCAATAGGAGGAAACTGTACAATGACGCTGACCTGACCTCTGCATGTGTGTATTTACATCTGGATGGGATGTTAACACACACACACACACACACACACCCACACACACACATCCTCTGAGAAATAAACTGATATTTTTAGATGATGATTTGCATGAAGCTCAGAGTGTTTTCTTCTTCCTCTGGTGTTTTCTACTTTAATATTTCACAGGAAGAAGAAAGTAACGACCTACACATTTACATCTGTCTCTGTGTCTGTCTCTGTAGTTATAAATGCAGGAATGAGGAAGTTTTATCTGCAGGCCAACGATGAGCAGGATTTGGTGGAATGGATCAGTGTTCTCAACAATGCCACCAAGATTACAGTGAGCCTCACACACACACACACAAATACACACTGATGGATCAATATGTGACCCTGTTTCTCCTGTTGTTGTAGGCCGCTCTGTCTTCTGCCTCAGGCCACAGCAGATGGAAAATTACCCATCAGGCCAGAGAGACTTTTCAGTTGAGGCTTAGCAGAGTGTGAGGGGACAGAGAGGAAGAGGACAGACAGGGTTTATATTCACGTGTAGCTGCAGGGGTCTGACATCGTGTCTCTGCTCCTTACTCAGGAACTACGATGCTCATTTTCACGTTCATATTTTAGTTCTGGGTTCGGACTATAATGTTAAAAAAACCCACTTAACCTCACCCTCTGTCTTATAGGCTCCGTTTTAGCGCTTGTCTTTTAAGTCCTCCTCCTTAAAAAGTCCAGTCTGCTCTGATTGGTCGGTGTCCGCATCTGCACTGTAGCGTCTTTGCACTTTGGTCCCAAGTCGATGCCAAACCTCTAAAACCATGTCAGTATTTGCTTTTCTCCAGTACCATAAGTACCAAGGATGCAATTCCCCGGACCTGACGGAGCGGCACAGACGCCCACATGTGTTCTAGTCTGCCATTAAATGCCAAAGGAAGAACGCCGACCAGCACGTAGAACAACAACACATAGAAGATGGCGAAGTGAAGAAGTGCAGCTGCGACTCGTAGAAGAGGAAAGCGTTTTTCCTGAGGCAGCGTGTTTTGTTAATTTCTTGCAATGAGAGCGCTGCGTATTTAAACTATTTTTTTTCTGGTCACTGAGAGTTGAAACAAGTGCGACTCCCTGATGTGGTGTTAAAGGATGCAGCATTTTTATGCCACGGCATTGATGACAGCCGTAGCTGTAATGTTTTCAGGTTGTCCGTCAGTCTCATTCTTGTGGAAACGATATCTCAAGAAAGCCATGGCACAAACGTCCGCTTAGAGTCAGGGATGAACTGATTAGAATTTGTTGGTCAAATGTCATGGCCAATGTGACCTTGCATCTGTCTCATCCTTGTGAATGCCCTTTCTTAAAAAGGCCTTGAGAAAATGTCCTCATATTTGGCACAGACGTCCACTTCGAGTCAAGAATGAACTGATAAGAATTTTGTGGTCAAAGGTCACTGTGAGCTCATCTGTCGCATTCTCATTGACAAACTATCTCAACAACACCTTGAGGTAATTTACTCAAATTTGGCACAAACGTCCGCTTGAACTCAACAATTAACTTACTTAGATTTTGGTGGTCAAAGGTCACTGTGACCTCATTTGTTGCATTCTCATTAACAAAATATCTCAAGAACACCTTGAGGTAATTTACTCAAATTTGGCACAAATGTCCACTTGGACTTAAGGATGAAGTGATTCGAATTTGGTGGTCAAAGGTCAGTGTGACCTCAAAAAACATGCTTTTGGCCACAACTGAAGAATTCACATGGTAATTATGACAAAATGTCACGCAGAGATCTAATCGGATAGAATGATGAAGTGATGACATTTTATATCCAAAAGGTCAAAGGTCAAATTCCAGTTCTTACCGTAAACAAATTCCATGAAAAGATCCAAACCAACAGTGAATGTGTCTCCCAACAAGTGTTATGTGTATCTACAGCCTGATGTTTTCTCCGTGCCATACAGCTCCACTATTGTTATAAACTACTATCACACATCAAATGTGAAGATTTTGGAGGCCGAACATGAGATGAAAGATTCCTCTGGAGAAGAAAAGACAGTTTAAACCTTAAACTCTTAAAAGCCTGTGTGTGTAAGCCGAGAGCTTCACAGACAGGGCGGCTGTTAATCTCTTGTTGTGTGTTTAGGTGCCAAAGCCAGGCGAGGGCCAAACAACCGCCCACGCAGAGACGCCACAGGAAGTACTGGGAGCCATGAAACAGCTCTCCTACAAGATGGAAATCATAGGAGGAGTCCCTATCGTCACCGCCACGCAGGTAACACACACACACACAAACACACACACGCACACACACACTGTTGTATTAGCAGCTGTTAGCAGCAGCTCTGCAGGTCCGGTCCTGTCAGTGTTGGTATGCAGCCACAAACACGTGACCCGTCAAGCCTCAGCACAGACGAGTGACGGCTGGTTTGAATTTTATGACCGAAAGGCTTAAAAAATGTAAAACTGAACACCCACACTCCAGTGGGGAGCCAGTGGGGAACCTGATTCTGTCTTTTTACTTTATACTTGCTCCTACCTGTTGGTAAAATGTAGGTGAACCTAGCTCACTCTAATGACACACATATATACTACTGAGCTTGTACTCAACTGCAGTGCTTCAGTCAGAATAACATGATTCGTCCAAAAATCATCTTAAATCTGGTTAAAAATTATCTTGAAAACGCCTTAAAAAGCAACATCAGCGTACGTTAAGCCTCAAAACAGTTCCCTAAAATGACTGAACTCACAGTGGATACAAAAAATTAAAGTATAGTTCAGATGTTTTGACGTGAGGTCGAATGAGGTTCTTCTCCACAGTCAGTGTGTTACCTATAGTAGATGTCAGTCAACACGCCCCCAGTTTGGAGACTGGAGTTCGACGTTGAAGCCCAGTGATGTCCTTCTGTAGACGGGTCAGAAACAAAATGTATTTTAGCCACCTTAAACAATTCAATCCCAGTTAAAGTGTACAGTAGATTACAAATATTTTCACTACCTTTCCTACGGGGAACCTGCTAAAAGCTTTAGGTCCCCATTTACGCTCTCGTCAAAGCCACCAAACTCTATTGACAAAAACAGTAATTTTACCTCACTGAACACAGGAGCTGCTGGTCTACTGCTGCCTCCATCAGTCAGTCAGTTTGTGTAATTGTGTGACTTGGTGAATCTGAATTAACCCCTAAACCGCCAAAGTCAGAAAATAACACAAACAAACTAACTGAACGAGGCAGCAGTAGACCAGCAGCTCATGTGTTCAGCGATGTTAAATGACTGAGAGAGAGCAAAATACACAGCTTCATTTTCCCACTGGAAATCAGTTTCTGACATTAAGGTAAGGCAGTGAAAATATTCTCAATATAGCGTAAACTTAAACTGATATTGATTTTTTTAGATGGGACTTTTTATAGTTTTGTTGCCGACCCGTCCACAGCAGGACGTTGTCTAGCTTCCATATTGGCGACTGCAGGTAACACACTGATAAGTACCTCGTAAAACCCCACTTCAAACAACCTGAACTATCCCTTAAATTTAAGCACCTGATACCTGTAGCCACCCTGTAAATGTCCTCCATTGATGTCACTTTATTAAGTACATGGTTGAGTTGCATTGTGGGTAATGTAGGATGTAATGCGCAGAATTAAAAGAGATGTTCTCGACGACTCCTGCGTTGATTTTGCTCGTTTTTGTGTCCACTGTGAGTTCAGTCATTTTAGGGAACTGTTTTGAGGCTTAATGTATGCTGATGTTGCTGTGTATCAGCTGTTTGCCAACATGTTAGACACATCAGATGTTTTGATTTCTGAATATAAACAATGTTGTTTTTGCGTGTGTGTTTTAGGAGCAGGGGGAGGGGCAGAGCGAGGCGGAGCGCGGAGGTTTGAAGCGGGGTCAGAATCAGCTGCCCTACTTCCTGTCCAGAGGAGCCCAGGACCAGGCCGTCATCAAGGACGGATACTGTGTCAAACAGGGAGCTCTGGTGAGAACACACACTCACACACACACACATACACACACACACACACACACACACACACACACATACACACACACTTTCCATCTTCTGCAAACTGACAACTGACGTAAAACCTTCAGCCAGACATTTAGGATTTGTAATGCCTCCACGCTGGCGACATGGCCAAGGCGTTATGTTCTTGGGTCTGTCCGTCCGTCCGTCCATCCGTCCGTCTCCGTCTGTCTGTCCCATTCTCGTGAGCACAGTATCTTCTTAAATTTAAACGACTGCCTCTCCCACTGCCAACTCTTTATCCCAAAACAAGAGGACATACATTGAAGTATCCAAATCAGTGGAGCAGATGAACTTAACTCAGTCACCTCAAGTCTCCCAAAAAATTCATCACAATGGGAAATGTCAGGTTATTTTTACACATTAAAAACGTATAATCATGAAATAAATGTTGCATAGATCATTGTAGATGAAGCTGCAACCTTGGTCAGTGATTTCCAGCATCAGACACTGATGACTTCAGCGTGATTCATGGCGGGTTGCCGTTATGTTATTAATGGCACCCGGTGGCGTCAGGGAGAAACGTGGCGGGACAACATAAGTTAATGGGGCGAAAGTCCAAGTAGGGCGTGTGTTAGGGGTGGTGGATGGGTCCAGCAACCACTGATTTTCACTCAGGAGGCCGGTGTTCACTTCCTGTAAGACTGTAAAGCCAAACCTTTTTTCCTAAACCCAGCCACGTGTATGTTGTTAAAGGAAAGAAAACATCAATTGGCGGCGTTGTGCTGACGTAGTGCTTTTATTTTGAAAGAGACTGTATGCAAACTGTACATTTCCTGTGAAAACAGAAGTGTATTTTAAAAACAGACAATGCATATAACAGGCTGAAGTTGACACGGCGTCCCAGAATGTCAACAACCAACACACCCAGGGTACCTTGGACGTCATATGTGGACGTGGAAAGTCCATGACCAAACGTGGACATGTGACGAGGTCACAGTGAGGATGTGCTGAATACAAAAAAGTCATGTGACTCTGAAAATACTGCTGACGTTTTTTCAAATTTTACAAAAACATCACAGAGTGTCAAACTACTGTTCCCCCGGATGGTCAGACATATGACCGGTCACAACATGTCAACCTGAGGACGTCCTGCAGACCTGAGGTTTCCTCCGTGTTGTTTCCACCCATTTATCAGTGCTGTGGTAAATTTAGTTTCATCCTCAGGTCTGTGGTGATTCGCTCACTCCAAAATAGTTCTTTGTCAGCTGTGGTGATGTGGTCGCCTGCTGACATCAGTCTGATCAGCTGTACAGAATACTGCTGACTGTCAGCTGAGCCGTCTGGAGTTTTTAAAGTGAAAGGACACATTCAGATGCTCAGTGGTGTCTTATTCTCCATCACTGCAGCAGCAGGAAGCAGGAAGCTGCTGCATTGGCTTGACTACAAGTAACAGTGTGTTGAAAGGACAAAACAGCAGCATGCAGTTCTGCCAATACATCCCCTTAAATCTGACACACTGGAGCTTTAACTTGAACCTGTGCAGATGATTTTCTTCCAAGTAACTTTTTGAAGAGAATCTTAAAATGGAGATGCTTCATGCAGCCGCCACAGGACTTACTTAATGTGTTACGCTAACAGATACACTGCTACACTGATGGCTCTGCTCCTCTTCCTCAGATGAAGAACTGGAAGAGGAGGTACTTCATGCTGGATGAAAACGCTGTCAGCTACTACAAATCTGACCTGGTGAGAAAATGTGTCTGTTCCTTATGTGAGTGAACTGATCCTTTAAGAAGAGTCAGGTTACAGCAGAGAGTGGGCTGTGGACGGGTTAGCGCATGTGAGCGCACACACACACACACACACACACACACACACACACACACACACGCACACACACGGCTTACTAGAACTTACTATTAACACTTTACAAATATTTACACTGTTAACAATGTAGGAAACTGGAGAAAAATCGAAGGACAGAAAGCAGCAGAACACCTGTGTGTGTGTGTGTGTGTGTGTGTGTGTGTGTGTGTGTGTGTGTGTGTGTGTGTGAGCGTGTGTGTGCGTGTGTGTGTGCGTGTGTGTGTGTGCGTGTGTGCAGCGAGGCTTGCTTTGCCCACAGTCAGTCGTGTCTCAACACGCAGCGGCATGCGTCCTGAATTCCTCCACATATGATCCACGTGTGGACAGATTAGCAAGTCCCAACCGCAGCCTGTCTGCACAGACATGGACACACCCAGTGAGTGTGTGTGTGTGTGTGTGTGAGATCACGTCTCTATATTTTCCACTGTAGGTATTAAAGCAGTCATGCGCGGGTGTCGTAATGAGTGTTAAAAAGCGTCACCTCTTGGATCAGAAACAAGTCAGAGAGAATCAGACGTGTGAGCTGCTGCTGGTTTCAGACGGACGTCTCCTCACTGTAAACTCCCACCTGATGTTTTTCTTTAACCTCCTCAAAAACTCAAAATCTTACCAAGAATATTTATTTCTGTCAAAACAAATCTCATTACAATTGAAATAAGACTCATCACCTAAAAAGTAACTTATTTTTAGACAATTTTCACTTGTTTCAGGAAAATTTTCACTTGAAATAAGTAGAAAAAAATCTGTCCATGGAGCAAGTTTTTCTTACTGCAAGCAAAAAAAAAAACTTGCTCCATGGGCAGATTTTTTTCTACTTATTTCAAGTGAAAATTTGCTTGAAACAAGTATTTTTTAAGTGTAAAGAGATTTGTTTTGACTAGAAATGAGGCTAGTAAACACATTTTATAGTGAGCAGCATACACATGTATGTCCCCTACAAATCCCAACCATGTTTACAAAGTTTGAATGAACGAGACAGACGCAAAGGAAACGGAGGCTGCGCATTGATCCTTTTGCCTCTGTCTGCCGGAACGAATATAAATCCCATTCATGATGGGGTCAAATGGATTTTGTGCATTATTAACCACAAAACAAGCAAATACTTCATCTTAATGACATATAACACTCATTATGCTTCAGCTGAATCCTCCAAGCAAATGATCATGTTGAATTGAAATTAGTTTATCACGTTAAATGTCCGAAAATGTATGAAATTGCTCCAATGCGTTAAACCAATCTTTGTGCATAATCACACAGCCTGGTATGCCCTGGCAAACACAGTGGGACTGCTGTACAGACCGCTGGTCTTTCTTACCCTAACCCTGGTTATTTTCTGAAAGCACAGAGCAAAGAAATGTCTTTTCATTTTCTCCCCCGGTCTGCTGTCAGCAGGAGCCGCGGCTGCAACGGGGTTTTCAGCACCACGGACGGCGCACGTAAAAAGACTTGACAAGCGTCTCCTTTAAATGTGTTTGCTGCTAGTGAAATGATACATAATAAATGAAGACAGTGACATATTTTCAATAAAAAACTAGTTGAACGTTCATTTCAAGCTTTTGTAGTACAACGAGTTTCAGAATTGTGCGAGTGCGGCCGGAGAGCGGGCGGCAGTGTTTGATGCAGGAAACTCGATATGGACTTGAAAATCAATTTCGGAGTGGGGGTCGTTCAGAACGGCGGTGTTTGGGAATGGAGGGCTGTCCCCCGTCAGCTTCATGCGGAAGTGACTCTGTGTGGTAGTGGTAACAGTTTTATTTCAGTCTATAACAGAAATCCCCGCCTCGTTTGAGCTTCAGAAATGATTTTGGAAATGTAGCTTGTGTGGACGCTACCGCGCTAAGTGATCAATAAAAGAGCTTAACTACTGAGAAGTTACTTGATTCAGAAAACAGCGACGCTACCACCAAGCTACTGAGAAATGTAGTTAAACTATAAACGTCCGCTACTGTAGTGACGCTACTGCCCAACACTGACTCTAGTATGCCGATACTTTTTCTCCAATTAATCTGTATACCTCCATCAGGCTTCAGGAGTGGATGTGATCACAGCCGACCTCTGACTCATCTGCAGAGCGTTGGTTTGGTCCTTTATCTCACAGGAGAACGTGATGACAGTACAGAGTGTCTCACAGAAGGTCTCCTGTTGACAAAATGAAAATCAAACATACAGTCAGGAAACGTGTCGCACAGGAGATGAGACGAGTGGTGCAGATTTTAAACATCCCTCCCTGTGGTTATGTTGTGAAGTGTGTGTGTGTGTGTTATTGTTCCCTCTGTTGATGCCTGCAGGACAGGGAGGCGCTGAGAGCCATCCCGCTGAAGGAGATTCTCAAAGTCCAGGAGTGCAAACAGAGGTCAGTGAGCTTCATGTCAGCAGGTGGACGCGAGCTGCCGTCCATCACAGGTCGTTAAAAACTGCTGTTGTCTCTGTCTGTGTGCAGCGAGCTGATGATGAGGGACAACCTGTTCGAAATGGTCACCAGCTCCAGAACCTTTTACATACAGGTGATTTCTCATCTCAAGTCAGATCCTGATCCTGATCTCTGATCCCCTCACGTGTCCTCCAGCAGGTTGACATTTGTGTTCTTGAGTGAAAGCTGTCAGTCATCTTCTACAACACATCAGCATTTCAGACTTTAGCCTTTGAACTAACTCAGTAAATTACAAAGTTCAGAGACAGAAGAGTTGTTTTTTTGCTCTTACACAAATCATTGGTTTCCGGATTAACGGACATTCGGTGTGATTTTTTGCATTAAGAAATATTTATTTTTCTCCTGGCGGGGATTCCTGTTAGCCTGTTGGCCCGTCAGGCCTGTGCAATCGTAGAGGAAACACAGAGCACTTCCTCATTTCAATCAGCAGAGACCAGGTGAATGAAATAAAGACGAGTGTTTAATACAGACTGGAGGTGACAGATGATGTGATGAATATGATTGACAGAACAATATCTCAAGAAAATCTTAAATTTCACACAAACCTCACTTGGACTGAACAATAAACTGATTAGAATCTTGTATTCGAAGGTCAAAGGTCACTGTGACCTCAGTTTCTGGCCATAACTCCAGAATTCATACACAAATGTTACAAATTTCCACACAAATGTCTAACAGAATAAAATAATGAAGGTCAAAAGGTCAAAGGTCAGCTTGGCTGTGACATCATCATGTTTTAACGTCATATCTCAGGAACAGAAGGGGAGACATTTGGTCAGATACTGAATTGGTGACTCTAATCTTGAAACTGTGCTGATCTTCTGTGTGTGAAGCACCCATGTTTTCACTGACATGGATGGACATTGTCAGAGACACTGGACTGGTGGGCGGAGTCATACAACCACAGGGTGGTGGTTCTAGTTTGCTAGAGGAAGTTAACGTATATTTTAACTCATGAAGTCAGTGCGTTACGAGCCCTGCAGACGTAAAACCACTGTCTGTATTTATAAATAACTTCTTTACCACCCCAGATCAGATGTGCCACTAAAAAATGACACATGACCATGTTCTCTCCCTCTGTGTGTGTGTGTGTGTGTGTGTGTCTGTGTGTGTCAGGCTGACAGTCCAGAGGACATGCACAGCTGGATTAAGGCCATCTCAGGAGCGATCGTGGCTCAGCGCGGCCCCGGGCGCTCCGCTAACATTGTAAGTGTCCTGTCAGACTCAAAGGACTCGCTTAAAACATTTGGTAACGTCACATTTAAACGAGCTCACTCACCAAAATAAGACACAGAAAACACACATTATTTTTAGCGACACTGGTGTTGAAATAGAAAAAATCTGAACCTGAATTAAGAAATCTTTAAAGCATAAAACTTTTAACAAGATAGAGGTTTATATTTTTTGTGCTGGTTAGAACATGAGCATCTTTATTTGTATTTACATTCAGTAAAGACAGGAACATCTCAGAGGAGCAGAGTACAGCTCACAGACTGTCACAAAGATCATATTAAGATCAACACTTTGCTTTATAAGTTTGTAAAAACCTCTCCTGCAGTTGGTCTGTAAGACACTTGAAACTTATTTTGGTCCCATCACTCCTCATGATGAAGGAGCTGCATGTTGTTTATGTCTGCTCTTGTGAAGTGGTGCCATCGTGTGGCAGAAAGAGTTACTGCAGCAGACAAACAGCTTACTGAGGTTTAAATTATCATCATCAAACATATTTATTTTCATGTATTCAGAGAAAAACAAACCTCAGATAGTCAACTTCAGTCTCATCTTATTTGTATCCCCTGATAGGAATTTAATATTTTACAGATTTGGTCCATGTTTGATCATTTTCTTCCTTTTTTTAGGAGTTTCACAACTTGATGATGATGAAGGTTGAAATGTGTTCTCACACAAAAAAAAGTGTTTTTTGTTGCACAAACTGTCGAAACACCTTACTCTCTGTGTTTCCATGTCTGTTTATTCTCTCACACACACACACACACACACACACACACACACACACACATATGCACACACAGATCTCGTGATCTTTCTCGGCTCTAACTCTCCCTCAGTCTTTTCTCTCTGTTTGAAGAGTTTCCTTCCAAAACCACACAAATAACCACCAAAAGAAAAAAGTTATAAGATTGATCAGCTGACGGGGGGAATCAGGGCTGCACAGTGAATCGAATGTCCATCATAATTTTGGCTTCCCACACTTAACTGAACACAATCGACAGTGATATTGATGTTAAAACGCGTGCTCCGCTCATATGAAATGGCGCACTTCCTAATTTAACAGCCATGGCAGCTGTGATGCCGCTGAGCGTGCATCCTGCAGCAGCAGCCTGTTAAATGTTTCCTGAATGTTGCAGCTGCACTTCAGAGAAGAAGAGTGATGTACAACAGAGAGCAGACGGGCCAAACAGAATATGTGGAGCAAGGTGATCATCAGATCATCTTTGGTTTGGGAGTATTTTAAATTTAGAGTGCAGGAAACAAAAACAACATACTGAGAAAACACAAACTGCAGTACAGTGAACGCACGAAGATCGAGAAGGACAGCGACGCCAACATCGCCTCACTAAATCTCTGTCGTTGTCCAGCGTCAACTCAGACCTCCATAAGAGCAACGCTGTACAGTGCTTCACCGTATCCACTCAGCTCTCAAAGACAGACTGAAATAATTGATGCAGTGGCACACCATCTGGTCAAAGATAGGTGTCCAATAAACACTTTTATTTACACAAAAACCACACTAGGAACAAAGCGGTAATCGAGGAACACAGAGAACAACACAGACAGACTGGCAAAAGAAAAGGGGAGCACGAAGACAAATGCACAAGGAGAGCAGGCAGATAACGAGGGACAGGTGAAACAAATCAGGGCGGGGCAGACGAGTGGTGCTTCTCAAAGTCAAGGAAGGATCCTTAAACTGTTGAATTTCAAAGAGGCACTGGGTGCATCCCAAGTCTCTTAAAATTACATCCCTGTTGTCTGCACTTGCACCTCTTCCTTGCGTCTTAGTCTCTCCCTCTGGGGATGCATGGAGGGATGAAAGGAAACCATGCAAGGAGAGAGAGAGGAAATATGTTTCCAGAGAAATGAGGAGTTGTTTCCTCTGAAGTATCTAAAGATCACAGCTGGATCAGCTCACGTCTCATTTCTCTAAGGGCATATTTCCTTGTTTCTTTCCGTGCATCTCTCCCCTGCGTCTTATGACGGCAGAGCTAAGACATAAGGAAGAGACACAAGTTAGGGAAACATGGATGCGAGATCAGCCATTGAGATTAACCCAAGGAAAGATCCTTAAACGGCTGAATTTCAAGGGGTATGTGGGTGCATTCCAGTCCAAGTCTCCTAAATTGCATTCACGTTTCCCCCACTTACGTCTTTTCATGGTGAGGAGAGAGGAAACAAGAAAACATGTTTCTGGAGAAATGACGAGTTGTTTCCTCTGAAGTGTCACACGAAGCGACGGCTGATAACATCTGGATCAGCTCACGTCTCATTTCTCTAAAGGCATATTTCCTTGTTTCTTTCCGCGCATCTCATCCTTGCATCTCTGCCCTGCGTCTTATGAGGGCAGAGCTAAGACATAAGGAAGAGACGGAAGTGAGGGAAACATGAATGCAAGATCAGTCATTGAGATTATGGAAAGATTCTGCACACCAATCCATGTCTCCTAAATTGCATTCACGTTTCCCTCACTCGTCTTTTCGTGGCGAGGAGAGAGGAACAAGGAAATATGTTTCTGGAGAAATGAGGAATGGTTTCCTCTGAAGCATCACGCAGCAGCTGATCACAGCTGGATCAGCTGTCAGTCTGCTTTAACAGCTGGTTGTATCTGCACACAAGTGCACCATGCTGATATTAATAAAGACACAGTTCTCAGTGTCAGAGCAGCAGTTTTCTCTGTTTAACAAACACAATCAAGAACAACCTGCTCTCTGCATTAATACCATCATGACCTGGCTCTAAAGCCATGACAAAAAGAAGGAGAGGCAGTCTGAAGGCAAAATAAGGAATCAGATAGAATCATTGTAAAACCAGGAAACCCAAAAGCCAGCTAACGTAATGATGAGATGCGTTCATCAGTAGAATCACTGGTGAAGGAGTCCAGTCAATAGATATCAAATCGGGGGCGTGTCAGCCGATTAAAGACTTCCCTGAAGGCTGCTCTTGTGTGTCCTCGCCCATCACTCCTCAGAGATCCCTCCTTGCTTCTCTCTTCTAAACTCCTCCGAGCTCGTTTAAGGAACTGGGACGTCCTTCAGGATGGCGGGTCTCAATCAATTTCCAGGTCAAGAGGACGGAGGACAGAGGAGTAAAGGAGGGATATTGGGATGGTTCCCATGTCACTGAATCCTGCAAAGGACTGTCCCTATGTCAGGGATCCTTCAAATTCAACCGAGGACCAAGTCCTTTCTCTAGAGAATTTTCAAGGATGTGCGTGTGTATCCTCAGGAGGCATGAAGTGCCCACATTCTGTTTTGTGTACGACTTGCCAGAATAGAAGGCGGGGCCTCTTTGCTAGCCTGTTCCAGTGTGTGCTCACTGAAAGCTAGGACTGAGTCTTGTCTAGCTTTTGTAGGACCAGACTTGGAAGGACCCATCCTACCAAGGAAGCATCCTTGACTTTGAGAAGCACCGTCTCACTAAGGTGGGAGAACACACAAAGACAGGAAATAAGACCAATCATGACAAGAGGACTGAACAGGAAGTAGTCTATACAGAAAGCGCAGACTGGAGCCCAGGATCATGAAACATCAGCAGGGATGTAACAGTGTGACAGTGAAAGCTGCAGATTAAACATGAATGTGCAATAGAAATATTTTGTCCCTAGAATCAATGAATAATCATGATGAATGATTGTGATCTTGATATTGATCAAAACCATGATAATAAACATTTCAGCCATAATCGTGCAGCCCTGGTGGAAACCCATTCTCTGTCTCTCGGACAGATTTACTGTAAATAAAATTTAGTGGGAGGTTTTTGTTCTTGTAACAAAGTAGTTTTCTGAGTGAATTCGGGACATTTTAAAGGATGTCTCAGCTTTTTAAGACGATTTCACAGCTCATACTCTCACTCTAAAGTCAAACTTTGTGCCGTCACCATTGATGGGATGTTGTGAGTCCTTCCATGGGCGGACAGGCGGACATGTGGTGTTTTGGAAAGGAGCTCTTCACATGACTGTAACTGAGCTGTGCTCTAAACTGTTGTTTTCAGATCCGTCAGGCCAGACGGCTGTCCAGCCCTTGTATACAGAGGTATACGCCATTCTGCAGTGGTGAATGCAGCACGTATGTGACCCCACGCCCTCCCCGCCCCCACATTAACCCTCGCCACCAGCCTCCCCTTACTGAGCACTTACCCTGCGCACTACAGGAGTTCTCTGGTTCTGAGTCCGGCCGATCCACACTGAAAGCGTTTAGAGAGTGTGGTGTAGCTTAGCGGTAGCCAGCAGCAGTTCTTTGGAGTTGAAGAATCATAGTCCTTATAGGCGTTAGCTCGCCAACCCCTGACAACGAGTCAAAAAAATCTGTCATTTGTAGTTTTATCGTGCATCCCCAGGATTGTATTTGCATTATTTTGCTGTTATATTATCAGTGCATCAGTGGCATAAAATAGTCTAAAAATGTCAAGAATATAATTTATTGCAATTATTTCTGGGACAATATATCGTCCAACTAAAGTAGCTATGGTGACCAATCTAGCTGTCAGTTAGCTTGGTGAAGTCAGGTTGGTGCCGTCCGCTTATCTCCCCAGGCAGCCTGTTCTCATGCACTGTTTGAATGTTTTCCTATGTACAGTAATGTACCATGAGCCAGTAATTCGTCACTTGACAAATGCACTGACAAGAGTAAAGAAAGAAGTGGTCCTGAGGAGTTCAGTAAGGAGGCAGGTTGGGTCACAAAGCACAGGACTGTCTCCAGGAGACAGTGCTTAAAACCGTGTGAACTTTGCATGAACTTCGAGTCATTTTAAGGTACGTTGTCACCATGTTTCTTTTCCATAACTTTAATTGCCTAAACCTAAAGTTGCCCAACCAAGTTTTTTTTCCTAAACCCAACTACAGTAACTTCACTTGCCCAGACCTAACCACGGTAACATAAAAGACATAACGTCATACATAGGGTGCAAATTTGAAGGATATTATACGAACTGTTGTATGACGTTACGTTTCTTCAGGAGCTGCTGCAGGCAGACAGCTGAGAAGTTTACCGAGGAAGAAATCAGTGTGGATTGGACGACAGGACGCTTACACGCCACTCACATCTCGCTCTCGTCTTGCCTCCAGTGGGAATTCCCAGTCCAACTGAGGCCTTTGTTTTTACATCCAGAATGAACCCTGTAGTGTTCGTCCATCCTAAAGCTGCTGTTATCCGTACAGTTTGAACGGAACAGCCCTTTAAAGTCACAGCTGGAGTCTGTAGCAACAGCAGGGAGATAGTTTGCAGATTTGGGTGAATCATATTTGAAACGTGAAGGTTTGTGAGTGCTGCATGAAAAATTCCTGGTTATTTGAAGTCTAGATAGTTGACCCGAGCTCTTTGGCAGATTCACTGGCTCAACTCTGCTCATCCTGTCATGCCTGAATACTGTTTGTTGGCAGCATCCTCATCCTCCATCACAGCCCGTCCCACCCAGGCATCACTGTCATCTCATTGACCCGCCATCGCCACACACTGGTCCGCAGACACACCAGCTTCTCACCATTTTTTTACATGTTTCATATTGGCAGCAGACGTAGAAGCCATCCATCCATCCACACGTCAAACTTCACTTCTCATTGTCGTCACATGACCAGTCATCTCTGAACTTTCTTTATGTGTCTTCTCTCTCCGTCTCTGTCTCAGCTGTTGATTCATGTTGTGTGTCATTTAATAACATTTACAGCGTTCCTGACTCCCGGCAAAACAAACAAATTCATCACGAGCTTCTTCTTTTTGTTTTTCCGCTAATCCTCTGTGTCTCTCTGTATTTCCTCTGCGTGTGTGTGTGTGTGTGCGCGCTTTCAGAGAGTGAGGTGTGACAGTGACGTACTAACCTTCCCCAAATGAGCCCCGCTGCCTACTTCCTGCACTTCCCACCGCTGCTCATCGTCCAATCACCAAGCCCCACTGCCTCTCCGCTTCTTTAGCAACTGCTGTTCGATCCTGCCCTGCTCCTTGGCAACTGCAGCATCGCTCGCTCGTACGTGTTGCTTGTAACTGCATGAGCCCCTGTGTTACTGTCACGATTCACAGCTTTTCCTTTGGACGGATATTGTGTGACTCCGTATCTCAGCGATAAGCTGGCAGGTAAAATGTGATCGTAACTGGAATAATGAGCCAAAAAACAGACGCTGCACATGCCAGGACTGGAAATAATTTCCTTTAGGAGAGTTAGCACTCTGTGGCAGCCATATCCACCTTATTCCTCGCCCCCATGACACCTTCAGCAAGTTTCTGTTGCTGAACCAGAACTGGCATTTCCAGAGGTGACAATAAGCTAACCATACGCTAATTAACTAACATTTTATGTCGTAAAACAAAACATAAAAGTCTCCTCAGCTTGTGTTAACCACAGACTTTATTTCAGACATCTGACCAAAAACCCGTTGACTTCGAGTTGAGGGAACAGGAAGTGCTAACATGCTAACTCATGTCTGGTTTTGGGACTCATTTCTGGGGCGCCCCCAGGAATAAGGTGGATAGGAGGTCCTCAGTATCTTATATTATTACGTTTGATCTAAGTTATGAAAGCTGTCAGAAACTTCCTGTAGTGACTCTGTGTTGACACTCAAACTGATCAGTGAACTCACAGTTAATAATTCTGTCATGTTGGGATCTGGCTCCGGCTGCTGCCTTTACTTTCTCTACTAATGCAAGTGTTTGCTGAACTTAATACTAACCCATCAAACCTGATATGCATGTTGTTATTTTCTTTATACATCAAGAGCGAATGTCAATTCACCTAACTCTATCGACTAAATATTTCCTCGATCACCAGCAAACATAACTTCTTCTGTAATCTGAACGTCATCAGTGACAAAAGCTAAATGATTTCTGTTGGACCTAGTTACTCCAAACCTAACTCTGAACTGTCTGTCACTACAACTGGAAGTGCAGAAGAGTGTTTTCCAAAATATACAACTTAAAGTTTAACAAGTTTACCAGTGAAAATGGTGTTAAAGTTCCTTATTTCGACCTGCAGCTTAATGAGATGCTCTTGTCTTAAAGGTTCTGTCTGTAACTGTCCTTGTTATCAGTGACCCTTGTGTCTCTGAGGCCGTTAGATTTACTGCAGTCAGCATCCTGTTGCTCACACTCCGAAGCTTAGAGCAAGCACCTGGACGTCAGCCAAAACAGTAACGAGACTGAATGATTGAGAGTCATGTTGAGAAAGGGCTGGAAAATAAATATCAATCATATTTAGAGTAATGTTACTCTCTGTAATGTTCCTTTATTTCATTTGGAGCGTTTGGCTCCATGTTAATGAGGACATTATTGTGTGTAAGTTCCCTTTATCAGCTAACGTTACAAAGCAACCAACAGCAGATTAGGTGGTGAAGGAATTTCAGTCAGGAGAGACAGGTGAATTAAGTAAAGATGGTTGTTTAGCACAGATTGCAGATTAACTGATTGTAATGGATGGTCAACTAAGCAGCAGCAACATTAATCCCCCCTTTGAGTCCTGACACTGGAGGTGGTGGTGGCTGATGACTCTGAGACTGATGAGGCCGATGAATCTGCAAAGACTAGGCAGTGATGGGGAGGTGTAGGGTGCACACAACAGCACCATGAAAGAACTACAGACAGAGAGAGAACCATATTTAAAGCAAGTAGCAGTAAGATGATAGGCTAACAGAGAAGGTGTGTCGCTGTGCTATTGGTTAACTGTGATCAGCTGACAGAACAGCTTAATGGCAAATACTGAGAGAAATAAATGACAGACCCAAGCATGCAAAAGAATTGTCCTCCTGACTGAACTTTCACCACAATTTCATTTGGCAAGATAGCCAACTGACACATCCACTCAAATAGTATTTTGCTAGCGATAATGTTAATGAGCAAGCAAGCTATGGTTAGCCAGCTAGCTGTAACTAAGCAACACTGCATTGATCTGGTGTTAAGTGCTTCATAAGATAAGATTTTGCTACGTTAGCAAGCTAGCAATTTGTCCAGGTTAGCAGGCAAGCTAATGCTAGATAATATTAGCCAGCTAAAACCACACTGTTTCAACATATTTCCCGTCAGTGCTGCCGCTAACATTGGGATTTTTTTTCCAACACAGACGGGGAACTAAAATTATGATACAGGACAATGAATTTAATGGACTTACTGTTATCAGACACAAATGAGTCAAGAATTAGATAGCTAGCGCAGCCCGTGGAACCTCCACCTCACTCCCTGCCTTTAAGACACTTCTTCCCAGGGAGGAGACCGGACGGCAGCTCAGACCTTAGCCACTGTAGCAACTCAGATTCAGCCCAGCCCCACGGTTCACAGTGGGCTGGCGGGTCTAACCTGCGTTACAGCAGCAACAGAAAGTTTGCTGATGCAGAGGGGACTTGGGATGGTCGAGAGGGTGGTCTTGGACTAAACCTCACAGCACTCAGTCCTGCTCTGGCTAAATTCGCATTGCTACAGATGCAAACTAACTGTCCGTCTCCCCCGGGCTGCTGCTGCAAAATGTATGTAACAGAAACACAGAGTGGACTCTGTTGTGGTGGGCGATTTTCATTTGTTGGCGTTAGTGGACTTTATCTCTTAGCTAAAGTTAGCTAGTGTTGCCCACTGTAGAGGAGCTGAAGAGAGGCAAGGCGCTCAGGGTGCACATAACATCACATCCTTTGGATTTGGAGTCCTTCCCCCAGAAATCAGTCCACAGAATGTTAGAGGCAACTGAGAAAGTTGGGGAAGGTCCCAAGTTGCATTACAACCTGTTCACCCATTGGCAATGAAATACAATTAATACATGTAAAATGTTACACACAGAACCTTTAGAGTTTTTACCCTTTATTTTTTATTTTCTCCTCTCCTCACTCTGCCTCTCCATCCATCATCCATCCACTGAGTCATCGCTGCTCTCCACCCATTCATCCGTCCTTCATTCACCACCGTGTTCCTCTTCTGCCTCTCACCTCCTCTCCTCTTTCTCTCTCTCCAGGAGCGCAGTGAGCTCTCCTCTCCCTCCCCAATATCCTGCTCCACCTTCTACTACCCCTGCGACGAGGAGCCGCACCACCCACAGTCCTCCTCAGAGGGCCCTCAGCTTCACTCTGGACACGCACCACCAGGACAACTTCCTGGGCCTGCTCCCGTGGAGGCTGAGCGGCGTTCAGTCGGTGATGATGCCCCTGCCGCCGGCACGCTCACGCCTGTCGCTGCAGGAGACGGTGCAGTCTTCGAAGTAACAGAGCTGGACAAGTCACCGTGGAAACGGCGCAGCGAAATCGCCCGGCTGGGGTTAGTTGATGGCGGTGGCGAGGAGGAGCTGAACAGTCGCACCACTGAGAATTCTGACATGCAGATTACGCTGATTTGATGATGATGATGATGATTGACAATCTGTAAAGGACACACACACTTCAACATAAGCTCCTGAGTTGTTCTGCGTGCTTCACAAACTACCTGACTGACTCAATGATCCGTCTCCAAACTTCCTGGGACCATTGTTTTGTATGTGTGCACACGTGGAATCGGACCTCCTTCCTCTGCCGTGTTTTCCTTCACTTTTGTCTTCCCGGATTTTATTTACAAAGTGTTGCTGCTGGCAAACAGAATCCACGTTGTCATGCGAAGAAAAAATAAATCTTAGATATTGTGCAGTGACGTTTTCACCGTGAGCCCATCTCGCCGCACAGCGATGGGCTGGTTTCACGACTCGTGTAAGAAACAGACGAACCAAAGTTTGCAGTTGTGTTTTCTTTACAGATGTTGCTGTCAGAAACAGGAAGTGTCTGTTGTCTGTGTCGACTCTGCTGAGGGACTGACTAATCCAGCTTCTTCTCAGATAATTTTTTAAGACAATCCCGCTTGATATTCTAAACTCTTTAATCCTAAATTTCCACTGGAGAACCTTTACCGTCTTCTCTCTCCTCTCCAGTAGAAAGGTCAAACTTGTTTCAGAGGTTCAAAGCTCAAATTCACTGAGGTCGCATTTATACACACGTCTGCACTTTGTTTCCAGAGTCCTGGGAATGAAGAGCAACAAACTTATTTTAGACATCATGCTGTCTTTGGAGGTAGTTCATGGATTATAACATTATTATAAGCCAGGAGGTCACAGAATTTTTAACGCTGAGGGTTTAATGCTCAACATACCCAAATAAGACAGACCATAATTTGTAAATTTCAGTGCAGTTGCTAGTAGTCTAATCATTGCCGTGCGTCACCTACAGATACAATATGTGGGTTTGTGAAAACATTGTATTTATGAAGTGTCAACGTTTCTGAAAAGAAAAACAGCTTTTCATTTCAAATTAGCAACATAATTTCAAAAAATTTACGTAAATCCGTAGAAGATTTGCATCAACTGAAGCGAAAAGTTGAAATGAACCAAAGCTGACAGGACACGTTGATCCGTGATTAGACGTTATGAGCTCCTCGCTGTATAAACCAGCAGAGAGTCAGAGCTCAGCGCTAACAGTAAAATATTCAAATGTCTTTCAATGTTTATGTTTAAAATACGAGATGAAACGACACAAAGCGGCGTTCGTAAAAAGGACTCACAGCTGTGGACTGAATCTCACCAGCATCACTCCTCATGACACGGCTCCTCTGTGACTCCATCACATGTTGATGTGTATGTGTTTTAGTTTAAAAATGAAACCCGACTCGTACTGTCCATCTGTAAATGTTGTTTTTGGACTCGGGAGCTGGATGAAACTCAGCAGCCATGTTCTGTCGTTTTGTTCTTGTTGGTTCCTCGGCTGCGAGGCGGCACTCCGTGTGGTTGTGGGTTTTCCTTTTTGTTCTTATGTCCTTTTAGTTTTGATGATGATTTTATGATTCACAGCGGTGAGATGCTTTTGAGGAAAAAAATGTTCACATACATGTTGTTTACTGACTTTTGTAAAACAGGTGTGCATGGCTGCATGCACACACACCCCCCTCCCCCTCCACTATTGTTCCCTGTTAAAGATAAGCTGGGTAAAGTGCCTGCAATGTTCTTTGTAAAGAGTTGATAAAAAAAAGTGAGGAGCTGTTTTGACCCTTTTTAGTGTGTATTTGAGTCTCAGACCATGCGCTCTGTTTATTAAAAGAAATTTGAAAATGATTTGAGCTGGGTTCAGGTGTGTTTCTTTGCCGACAGGTGGATGAGTTGCAGTAGCAGTTGGACACATCGGATCTGAAAGCAAACGTTACTTATCATTTCATATTTGTGGTTCATGGAGAAAAGTAACATGCAGCAGTAAAAGAAAAGGGAAAAATATTCTGTATTTTTCTTATCATAAAAAACAAACAATGTCAGTCCTTCAGTACTTTCTGACTTCCTGTCTGTGGCACACACAGCTCCAAACCCATTGGTTTGCTTTCAATATGTAAATCTTTGTTTTTACTCTTAAAAAGGCACAGTTATTTCCTTAAAGAAACTTTATGTGAAATACAGAGTGTATAAATTGTGTGCACACATTCCTGAACATAGAGGTGACAGAGCCAGCGGCTAGCAGCTAACGGTGCTAACTCCATAACCAGCACTTAACAACAGAAACAGTGCTGACAGAGCTCATGGTGTTAACCAGGGAGGCCAGAGGGTGGGTGCTTTACTTTGTCAATGACACCATCCTGATATCAGCAGTAACCCCCATATGAGCAGAGTTCAGAGCAGCAGTGATGAGCAAGTCAGTGGGATACACACAGAATACGGGAGGGAGTGTGACTTAATTCTCTGCTCAGGGCGCCATTACTTCACTCTGTCTTTACCCCGATAACAGTGGTTTGATGCTACGTTAAAGGAATACTCCACTAAATGATCATCTGTATAACAATGACTCACTTTCTTTAAAAAAAAAAAAAGATTAAAAAATATTTTGTTTTTCTCTCATGCCTTCATGGTGAACCCAAAAATGATTGCGTGTTTTCTTTAAAAAGTTTTGGTGATTTTTTTTTTATTTTCAGTTTTCTTTTTTTTTTTTTTTGGCAGTTTTTGTTTTTTTTGTGATTTTCATCCTTCAAAATGAATTGGCCTTTTTTTCCTTTAAAATCTTTTACTTTTTTACTTCAAAATTTTTTTTTGTGAAAAAAGATTTTTTGGACGATTTTCTTCTTCTTTTTTTTTTTTTTTTACTTTGAAAAATTTGGCCATTTTTTCCTTATTTGTTTTCCTTAAAAATGTTAGCAATTTTTTACTTTTTAAAAATGTTCTGACTTTTTTTCTTTAAAAATGTTTAGCTTTTTTTTCAAACTTTTGGGAGACCTTTAAAGAAAATATGGCTGTAAAACTCACCAAAATTACACCACCCATCACAGCCAGAAACTGTAAAAAAGAAATTTAAAAATTGATTGTTGGATGTTTAAATTTCCAGTGATCCTTGAACACATCATGTTGGATGAATGCTTCCATCATGAAAAAAAAAGATACGCAAATCTGAGATTTAAAAAGTTATGTTTCATCAAAATCACTTTCATCTACGTCTCATTTAAAATTAGTAACAGTTTAATATTTGCTTTTACATAATGAATATTAAATAACATCCATTTGAGAGCGCGTGGATGATGATGACAGGTGGTTGTGGGTTTAAGTCCCTCAGTGAGGAGCAGCTCTGTGTTCGTCCACCAGGTTTCACTCTTTCATAGTGTGGTAAATCTTCTCACATATTTCCTTGTTTCAGGCACTTGGTCCTGATTTATGGCCGCAGGAAGTCCCCATTCTTCATGCTGCTCCTCATCGGGTGGAGGCTCTCCAAATAAACTCTGGTGAGGCGGCTGTTGGTCGTGAGGTCATGGTTTCTGGACGCCGGCTGCGGAGCGTCGATCCCACAGCACTGTAACATGCTGCAGCCACGGCCCACACCTCCAGGAGTTACGTAAGAACATCACTGAGTGTGATGAAGACATTTATCTGAGCTGATGCACGGCGCTCCGTGCGTCAAACATTCAACAGTCCTTCTGTAGAGTTAATTTTGTATCAAATCCAACAGCTTTGAAGCTGCTTTTCTTTCTTCCACACACACACTTCCTGTGCTCATGTGTTTTGTGCTCAGTTTCTACATCATAATTTTTACTATCATGATTATTGGTTTTATGCAGCAGCTTTAATCAGTTAGGAGGAAGATTATTTATTTGTGCTCAGAGAGAACACATGCTCCACAGTGGAACAATTAATCACAGAGCACAAGATCATTGTTTAAAGGCTCTCTGTAGTGTTGCACTTTTGGCCGCGCAGTCAGTGATCTTAGACTCTGACCTGCTGGGTGTAAAACAGAGAACCTGCTTTTGTTTTCTATGAAAAGTGGCAGGTTCCTGTCAGTGAGCATGATGGAGAGGTGAGGCAGAGGGCAAATGAACTGTGGCCTCAGAGTAAATTGAGGTTTAGTAGCCTAACTACTACTAATGTGAAACTGTGAATGTCTCTATCTGGAGCCAGAGTTTGGTTTGTCCATTCTGGGTTACCATAGAAACATGGCGGTGCAACATGGTAGATGGTACGTAGATATAAACAGCTCATTCTAAAGCCTCCTCCAGACTGTGAGATTTATTCAAGTTTAGTGTAGCTACGCTGTGCGACATGGATCTCATAAACTTGGGTACGACGTTAAGTTTAATGCACAAGGATGCTTCTCCAACTGTGAAGCACTACATAGAGGGTCACATTAATAAAATTAATTAAGTTATTATTATCATTAATAGAATTGATAAAATGTCCAAAAAAATATTGATTACAAGTAAAAAAAAATGTCATTCAAATGTCTGAAAAATGGAAATAAAATGTCCAAAAATTATGAATAAAATATATCAAAAAAATTAAAAAAAAAAAAAAAAAAAAAAGTCTGAAAATTTGTTGATTAAATGTCTAAAAAAATATGATCAAAATGTCCAAAAATAACCTAAAGTTCTGTGGGCACTATATAGTGCAGTGTGTGTGTGTGTGTGTGTTTGCTAGCTTCTAGATGTCTCACCTGGCAGCTGTAGCTCCGCCTCTATTTCCTTCCATGCTTCGTCCTTCTTTACGCGATCATGGTCAGAGCTGGAGGACACATCACGAGGCTTCACAAGGTTTTCCTCACATTTCTTTTAGCGCTTTAGTTTTGCCTCCATGGCGAGCTGCTGTCCGTCTGTCTGTTTGGCTCATTTCATGCTGCATTTCTATTGGTTGGTTAGAAGACGTAGGTGGTAACAGCAGTCACACTGTCAGAATTTTATTCCAGGCTGTCTTTGATCACAGACTGAACGGCCATCCTTAAACTTCTCTCACTGTGTGACGTAGGACCATCATTTTAGAGTCATGACTAAAAATGTCGCCAGGTTTCTTTACCGCTGGTCATCGTTCACCAGGGTCAGCCCAAAGTCGTGTGTGTGTGTACCCAGCTTAAGACAATGAAAACACAAGGATTCTTATTTTCAGGTGATTACACACTAAAGAAATAAACATTACTGTTATTTGTCAGTGTGTGTGTGTGTGTGTGTGTGTGTGTGTAGCAAGGATGCAAACGTCTAAACACTTCACTTCATTATGTAACATCTGTTCTCCTCCAGCTGTTACAGTCAGCGCTGTTAAAATATTGCTTCATGTGGAGCGCTGAGAGGAACTCCCCGAAACGTATTTATTCCTGAGGGTAACTGGCTGAGTGTAGAGGCACTGACGTCTCGTCCAGATGTTTCACAGAGCGCAGTTTGATATCAGGAGACTTCCGGGGTCAGTTCCTCAGAATCAAAGAGTGCGAGCTCCGTTTGAAATCTGCCATGTTGATCCATCACGCAGAAATATGTGAACGTTTTCCACATGTGTTGTTTACAGACATGATGGATTTTCAGTTGTACGTTTTGAACATTGGCTCCACTTTTGTTTTTGCTGTTGAAAATCTGCAGCTGAAAATAAATCAAATGAAATGTGAAACATATTTTGGAGAGGCGGCGTCAGCTATAAAACACAGACGGGTTCCACTGTAAGAGTCACATCAACAAATCCTTAAAGAGAAATCTTTATTTCTCTTTTACAGACTGTAACTTTTTCATTGTTCTGTCGGTGTCGCTTTCTAAAATGACGCAGAGACAGATTAATGACTAAATTTATTCAAAGGTTAAAGTGAGAGACGTTCACTTCAGTTCAGATCCAAACCACAGAGCGAGCAGCCTTCACTCTGCTCATCACCCACATGTCCTTTTAAAAGACACTCTGAAAATCAATCAATACACACTTATGTCACCCAGATTCATTTTGTGCTGCGAGAGTTCTCACTCTGTTCCTCAGAACAGCGTTCTCAGAACAACAGTTCCTAGTTCTTGTGGTGCGGACGCATGAACAAAGTGGTTCTTAGAACTATAAAAAAGTTTCTCTGTCTTCCAGTGAGGACGTCCTGATCTCAGCCTATCAAACAGTCACAGAGCTGCATTTTCCCCTCTTACACAAACTGCCATCTCTGCCCTGTGATTTACATTCAGCCGTATACTGAGGCTTAATCAGCGCTGGACTCTCATCCATCTGACGACGCCACCGTTCAGCAGCTATCAAGACTAATGAGAGCGAGGGCGGAGTTGGCTCTGAGTTGGTGTTTGAAATGAGCCCCCGCTCACAGACTTCAGAGGAAAGGACCTTGTGTTCCTTCACAGAGAGAGACAGAAACCAACCAGAGCTGCCAGCTGAGGATTTAAGAACGAGACGTGACACTGCCAGTGAGAACAACTTAAGAACATACCATGAAGTCATGCAGTCGAGACCTGCTGCTGTAAATTCAGTCCTAAAGCCTCGACGTCCAAGTCAGAGCTGCTTAATGGGCTTCTAAGTGCAGCAACATGAGTGCAAGATAAAATATTAACCCCAGACTGAGTCCCTGCACCTCAGCTCTACAGGTTTTAACTTTCCTTCAGATGTCGGTGTGGCTTTGAGTTTTTACAGAGTTGATTCTGAATAGTTAAAATGCTGCATTCACCTGGAACCAGACGGACGGAAAACACCCTCTGGACAGCACAGGAAAAACAAGCAAACAGTCCAACAGGATAGTCAAGTGAAGCAGTAATTAAGTTATGTAATTTTTCTAGTGATGTCTCATTCCAATCCCATCAAATACCGCCACACACACTGACACCAAAAGCCACCTTTCCTGGGGTATAACACGC